GGCGTTGTTGGCACACTCGGGACAGATCTCCTGGCAGCCCAGTCCCCAGCGACCCTCAGGGCAAGCTGGGGCGCGGGCAGAGAGAGAACACACACAGGCATCGGGACCGCAGCCGCGGCGTAAGAGGGAAATGGCTGTTTTCTGGTGCACGGCAACGGGTCCCCTTGTTCATGTCCATGTTTCACGCACAGCATGGACTTTTGCGTGGCAATGCGTGGCTACCAGCAAGGACAACGCTGCTTTTTTTGTTTCATAAATAGCGCGTGAGCCCTGGGTAAGTGCTATCCTGATCCCACTCCAGTACTTTCATGTCAATTTTGGATTCACATCTACTTGTGGGGAGCTACAGGGGCTCCGTGCTAGGAAATGGTGTTGCTGGCAAAGGGTCTTTGCAGCTGCTGTCACACCGCTGGACAGCACATTAGTCAGCGTTCCCAGCTCTGCTGCGAGTTGCAAGCAAGAAGTGATAAAAGCGGGGCAGGAATCCTTGTTTAAGTGCTCCTAAGCTGCGCCAAGGCCTGGGAAAATAGTCAGTTCAAAATGTACGGTGAGCACTGTGCATGTGCGGTTTTACTGCTCACTCAAACTGTTAGGAGCAGGACATCCATATACGACTAATACCTTCCAGCTGCCATAACACCATATAATCATGTAAAAGCTTTTAATTTAGGATTCTTTACTTTTCCAGCAGCTAAAGAGTAATATGGTGAAGGCAATTAAAAATACACATCAGTAAAGAAAGACTCCTTTCCTGTGTTAAGGACTGCAACAACCTAAAACATCTTCATCTTTTTTATTGTGTATGTTGCTTACTTCAGCTTCCACAGCAGAGCTAAGCTAGCCGAGGCTACAGTTTAAGACTTACCATCCAAAGCCGCATTTTTTCTCATTTTCCACAAAGATGATTCTAATTGCACTAGCTGCTTTTAAAACTAATTTTAGCCAAAGAAAACCAACAGCTATACGCCTAAATCCCTACCTCGGCGCATTGGCTGCTGTTGCCTCCTCACCTTGGCCGCAGTCGTGTCCCGTCCAGCCGTGCAGGCAGAGGCACTGCCCTGTGCTCCGGTCGCAGGGCGCTCCCTGGCAGGAGCAGGACCGCCGGCAGCCGGCCCCGAACGTCCCCGCCGGGCACTCTGCGCCGAAAACAGCAGTGAGAAAACCGCCCCCTCCCCGGGTGCCTTTCCCCAGAGCGCATCACCGATGGGACCCCGCGCACCCGAGGAGACCGAAGAAAAGCCCCGCTGCGAAGGGTTCCCTCGCTGCAGAGGCAGACCACGCCGGTGGGACTGGACACGACCGCTCCAGTTACCCACGCCGGCCACCCGGGCACCCCGCTGCCTTGGTTGTCCGTGTGAGGACCTTCCCTGTTGCTGCTTGTCCTTCCAGCGAGTATCTCCCCATACAGGAGCCCAACAGCTGCGCCCAAACCGATCTCCAGCCTCTGCAGGCGATTCTGCAGAGCAGCCCGCTCCCTCGCGGCTGCACCCCTGCAGCGCCCTGCCCCGGGCAGCAGCTGCAGCCGCCCCTACTGCAGCACCGGCTCAGGAAAGGTGCGCTGTCGCCCTGCCGCCGAGCCAGAGGTGCTCCTCTCCCCCCGCCGGGGCGGTGACCCGAGCCACCCTGCTCGCTCTGTGCTGGGGTGCAGCACACCGGGCTCACGGCCCCCAAACCCCTGCCATCCCTTGGCTTTTATAAGATGCTGCGAGGGCTTTTTACCGCCCTGGCTGAGAGCCTCCGGCATCTGGAAGCCAGGCTTCCCCAGCAGCAAGCTTTGCGGCAGGTACGCTGATGTAAAGCAATAGAGAAGGAGCATCCTCATCCGCAGGAGGAGTAAGGCTTGTCCTGCCCTCTGCCAGGGTGCTACTGCTGACACCAGAAAGCGCGGTTTGCTCTTTGCACCCCGTGACGCAACTTAGCAATAGCTAATTACGTGCAGACCGAGGGCCCCGGACCCAAAGATCCTCGAATCCTATTTGAGTCTCCCAAAAAAAGCTCCGCGCTCGCAGACCCTTTTGTTCACGGAAGCCAACGTTCCGTAAGGCTTCGGCAGATGCAGACACACCAGCGTTCACAAATCACAGAGGGAAAGCACACCAGTGCGTAGATGTCAAGTGACACAGTGGAGGTTTTGTTATTCCTCCCCTTTGCTAATTGATGGCAGATGTTTGTCTTCACCCTTTAATAATTTCCAGATCCCAACAACAGCCAAGAGCCTACTATTTCTATACAAATATTTGTGTTATTTCCTGTGACTCCCCCCTACAGGCTTAAGCTCCTTTCTTATTCTTTTTAAAAATATCCCGACCGAGAGCACCCAGCCCACCGAGGCGCCGCGTGGCTCTGGGGGCAGCAGCCTCCTGCTGCATGGGGGGGTCTGGGGCTGCCGGGACCCCTGCGAGGGGGCACAAGCCCTGCAAAAGCCGCTTGCATCGCTCCTCCTAACGCTAGTGAGCTCTGTGAGCACTTGCTGCCATTGGGACTTTCTGTGACCATTGCAGCTTTTGTCCTGACCAACAGACCAGCTACGTTCTGCCCGTCGTGGTGCTGTGCAAGACACTCATGTGCGAGCAGCTTAATTAGGTTAATAGCTTTAATTCTGGGTTGGGTGTGGATGGAGTGCTTGGTTAAACATAAGTTAGTGCAGAAACTCCCAGGATGCTTGAATCTAAACTCAGGTGCTGACCACCACAAGCCTCTTAACGCAGTGTTTTCTCTTAATGCAGTCTGTCTTCTAAGCGTGGACTTCAACTTTTTCGGTTTTCTCTTGGATCCAGCCAGTTGAAGTGTGATTTGGAAGGAGACAACCTCACCAGAGGAGGAGGTTGGCTTCTCAGTCGTTGATCAGCTCTGAGGCTGGCAGAAGGTACTATTTTCCAAGAACTGTGTTCATGTTTTGTAATCACCACCTCGTGCCAATGACTCACTGCCTTTAAGTTCACTCAAAACACCTTTGTTCAAAGGAAGTCAAACTCTCTGACACCCCAACTATCTCCCAGGATCTCAAAAAGCTGCGCCCTCAGAGCTATGCAGTTCAGTTACTATACTGTCAACTGGTCCTTTACGTGAAGAGCAGAAAACTGCTCTAGGAGGTTCTTACAGAGGCAGAATTTTAAACCCTGATTTAAATGAAATACAAAATTCTCTTTTCCATGTGAAGATGAAATAGAGTTTCAATGTGGAGTAGAGAATAGAGAGGAAAATATGATACCGTTCTGCAGGGCACTGATTGCCTGGAAGTAAAAAGACATCAGAGGCGGGGGGGGAAGATAACTAGATATCTGTCACCTTCATCTACAAAGGCAAAGATGCCCAAGCGGCGGGATAAAGTGAGACCTTGTTCTCCTTTTCTGAATTAGACTCATTATGCACGAGAATTCCCGTTTCCCTGCTTTAAAGGGATTGCAGCATTTCACAAAGCCATGCGAACGGCAGCTCTTGTGCCCTCTAAAGCCGTTTCAGCTTTTCACTCATCAGACCAACCGCAGCGGGCTAGCGGGTCTGGGAGAGCACAGGAGGAATTCTGGAAGCCCTTTCATGTCGTTTTGTGAAGAAAAAGTTTGTATGTGCGAGGAATCAAGAGTTTAGAGCAGGCTTGGAGCTGCCTCGCAGGGCCCCTGCCCTACCTTGGTCACAGTTCTGCCCGTGGTAGCCCTGGGGACACTCCTTCCAGCACTCTCCGGTGACAGGGTCACAAGACGCCTCTGGAGAGCAGCTACATTTCTTCTTGCAGCCATCCCCGTAGTAGCCAGGGTCACACTCTGTTAACGACCGTCATGAAAAAGAAAGAACATCTGGCATTACTCCATTGCCGCTGGGGGAGCCGGCAGAGCCGACGGCGGGGCGCGGGCGGCTGGACCAGCTCCACGTCCGCGGGCACTCCCGCCCGGCCGTGCGGGTTCTGCCGGCGAACGTAACGGGACCGAGCGGGACAGCACATTTTGCTCCTAATCTAAACAACAAGAGGCGAGAGAGCCTTAGGAGGGTGGAAAGTGAGCTGAGGTTTTACCCCCCCCCCAAAAAAAAATTAGCTAGGGGAAAAGAGGAGAAGAGGGAGAAGCCCCGCGAATACTTCTTCGCAACTCACTCGTCTCACAGCGCTTGCCGCGGTAGCCGGGTTTGCACCGGCAGGAGCCGTCCCTCCTGTCGCAGTCCTGCGCGTTCTGCTGCACACAGCGGCACTCTTCCGAGCACCCGGGGCCAAACGCCCACTTCGGGCAAACTGGATGCAGAGGGGAAGAGCTGGTCAGTGACCCGCGACCCAAGGCGGGGGGCAGACGCTTGGCCACCCAGCGCTGGCCCTTCCCAGGGATGACATCGAGAAAGGCTGTAATTGGAGAGTAACGCATTTCTCACAAAAAGAGATGAGGACAAGCGTACCTAAATGGCAGTACCGTCCGTATAAGCCAGGATCGCACAGACAGGCTCCGTAAATCCGATGGCAACGACCCCGGTTGGCACAGTTGCACTTTTTCCTGCATTGTTTCCCATAAAATCCTTTAGGGCACCCTAGTAAGAGAGAGAGATTTTTCTGGGAAGATGAGCCAATTTCAGCCCGTCATTTTATTTCCCGCAGACCACAGGAAAAACGTACCAAACCCAAAGCATCAGAATGAACCTAGGCGAAGGATGCAGCCGGGGCTGCAAAGGCGCCTGGCTTGTTTTCTGACCAGGAATGTGCTTGGGTCTCTGCGCAATCAGGTAACGATAAGAGCGAGCAGCTCCAAACCAGACTGCTTCCGCAGCCGGCACTCCTGTCCTTGCACGGTGTCCGGTGCCTTTCGCCTCCTGCCACTCCCCAGCCCCACGAGGTGCCTCGAGGGCACCCATCAGCTCTGCCCCCGCTTGGAATGGTAACGCTGGTCCTGCCAGAAATCTACCCCGCAGGGCTCGGAGAAGTCAACGCTTTTCATACGTGAGAAAGTAATCCACGAGGCCATTCCTACTGATAAATAACAGTGATATTTGCACTATTAAGGAAATAAAATTATTGTTCTTTCTCTGTTATGCTAAAGATCTTAATATTAGAAGCACATGGCAGACAGACTGTGTCAGCAGAAAGCTCTGGCCAGCATCTGTCCAGGCAGCACAAGCCTTCTCCCGTATGGCAAGAGCAGACAGTTTAAGCAGAGGAAATGCCACCCTGGGACAACAGCTCAGTTCTTCATTGTTTACTCTGATCTTACCTTCCTGGTTTTTCCTCTGTACCCCTCAATCACCTCCTTCCTAAAGAAAGACAAGGTCGGGGTATCTCTTGCATTCATTTACATTCTGCTTTGGTCTCCTCCTTCAGTAATAGCTCCCATATGCTCCTAACTGTTTGTCTGAAGTCATTTTGTCTGAATCTCTTATTGTCTCAGTCTTTCTGCATTTTTAGATTATGTCCCCCAGATTTTAACTCTTTGGGAGAACAAATACCTACCGACAGCGACAACTCCTTTTGCAGTACTTTGGGTAACTACTGTTGTCACAACTTTTCAATGCTTTGGCTTTCCTTTAGTGGAAAATACCTCCACGGTTCTGTAAATTTATCACTGAACATCCATTTTTGACATTCTTTTCTGTGTCCGCTGAACACCCTGTGAAACGCAGACGGCTGCCCACGGTCACTGCTGAGTAGCGGACAGAGACTGCCAAGGTCTTCCAGTGCAAAGACAAGGCATACCACCTGCAGCACTGTTTTGTGGGTGAACGATCCCCTTTACCATCTTTTCCTTATTAAAAGGACATTTTTCCACGCAAGACTAGGTGACCCACCCAGTCAGATGGAGCAGGGATGTGTCAGAGCCACTCACACAGGGATGGATCAACAAAAGAGTTGAAAGATGCTTTTCAGTGACCAGCTACAAAGGGACCAGTGTAAGGTGTTCTGTGGAAAACATTTCAAAGCTTCAGAGAAGCACAGCTGGAACGTCAAAGAGTGGCACCAGAGTTGGCTGCAACAGCCTTTTATCCAATTACGGCAAACGCTCCACTAGTACGTTGGGAGAAACAGAAAGGAGCTGCCTCGGCAGGCTGGGGAGCAACACCTACAGCTCGGGAATAGAGCTACTTCCTCACAGAACCTGTTTTCGGGAGAGAAGAAAGCTGCAAGGGAGGCCCCACGTTCTGCGCTTGACGTCAGGGCCCCGCAGAGGTGCCGCCCTGCCTTTTCGCGGACACCCCGCTGGGTCCCCGCGCCTCGCCGAGGGCTGCGGCGAGGAGGACGGGGATCGCCCGCGCGGAGCGGGCGACGG